AAGTGGCCAAAAAACCACGCCACGAAGTTGACACAAAAGAAATCAGTCCTGGGGAATTCACACTGGAGAATTCAAGTGAAAATGGCAGAGCGGCCGGAAAACCATGTCCACACCTGTAGCAAATGTTCACATCGGTTCGGCCCCTCATACATGCCACCGCCGCCATCGCTGCTTGACAGTTCATTTCATTTTGCCCAATTCCTCAGCATTGAAGTTTGTACCGAGTTCTAATTATGCATGCAAACCACTGAAATGAAACAGTGTGCACCTTCACAAATGTTGTTTCTGAATTTACGCGAGCAGGACAACACAAGCGAACGCAGTGTCGACGACGGATTCAGCTGACAGTGCAAAAATGAGACATATTCGGACTTGCCGACTCGCTGCTGCTGCGCCTTCTTCTATTTCCAGTGTTTTCAGCGATCGTAATCCAACCAGGCTCCCGATGAACGCGTCTTTGTCAAGGCCGTGAGCTTTGACATGCACAGGTAGCTCGCGATAATGTTCACGCGATCCACCACCGTCACCTTTGCTGCCATGTTGAATTAGCGGCTAGTTGTTTACACCTCGTGGCTTGAGAGTTAAAGCAGCCGGTGTAGCCAAAGCTCTGAAGCAAAAAGGCGATTTGCTATCGTGTGGTGAAAAAATTGGTCTCTTGATTTCTTTGCATCACCCTCGCGGCGCATTTTTATGGCCACCAAAGTGAGGAAAATTTTGGCGAGTGTAGCTGCATTCACTGTCATCAAGGCCAAAAGCGAATGGCTCTTCCTCTCACAGACAAGCCATGTTGCGTCGCTGGCGTGCAGCGGTCCATCGCATATTCGTATCATCCGCGGTGGCTGGAGAAACCGTTCATATAACAACGAATCATGGCATATTTTATATAATGTAGTCCATCGAAAACAAACTTAAAATTCGTATCATTGTGAAATTCACATCAACTGCGATCGTATCATCGAGATTCTACTATATAAAGGAAAATCCAATGGTGTGCCTACATCCCATTCACTGCAGACACCATTGGCCCAGTCACGAGAAGCAATAAAGAGCAATGCTGCCTCACTAAGCTCCCACATTTTGTCTCTCTGATAGAACACATGCTGGCGATTTTGTTTTCATCTACAGCGCTGCACTGGCCCTTCTGTGTTTTTGGCAATTTAGATCCTGATTGCTTCTAGCTTGGCATCTGCAAAGCATCTGTGTGTTTAGATAACGTGTGATGGAATACAGCACTGCCTTTGAGAATGATTGCAAGAAGATCTACGAAGTGCAGCTGAATGCAGCATAACCTGTGCACAAGCAGGCTAACAGTTCATGCGATGCTGGTTGGAGGTTCTTTTTTAAGCTTGCAAATTTATGTACCGTAAACTCTCAGTCAATGAAACTCTCTTAAATCTAAATTACTGTTTAAATAGAACTGCCTCTAACGCGATCGGTTTTGTACTAGGTTACTGCACACCTGTTCATTTCTCAGTAAATGAAACTCCTGTTAAACGAAACACATACTTCATCACATGCTCCATAGCTCGAAAATATTGCTAAGCGAGCAGATGTAAAGGTAATCTCTGCAGCATTAAAATGTCTAAAATTTGCAAAATGACGGATCATTGCCTCGGAAAGTACCAGCCTGTACCACAAACCATGAAAGTACCGTAATTACTCGAATATAACGCACACCTTTTTTTCCGGTTAAGCGAGTTCATAAATCGCATGCACGTTAGAATTGAGTACGAAAAAAATGAATACGGTCATTCTATTGCCATCGGCATTTCCAAAATGGCCGCCCCCTACACGCGTCGGCATGGTGCATCGGCCATTTCTGCCTATGTGTTTCCCATGTGCAGCACATAATACGTGTGCCGAGGAGTTCGTCATCTTGTAGTGCATTAGCATCGACGGCATGGAAGGGTGGACTCCAAAAACTCGAGTGCACCACGGTGGCGCTTTTAAAAGAAAAGACATCGCGTGTGCAGAAACGGACGGAAATCGGGCCGCATCGCGGTCGTTCAGAGTTCCCGAAACGTGCGTGCAGGACTGGCGGAAACAAAAGCAGAAGATTGTCGACAGCAAAGCTTCACGCAAAGGCTTGAGTGGACCACAGTACAGTCGGTTTCCGCAAATTAAAGAGCTGCTCGGCAAGTATGTGCTTGAGCAGCGAGCGTCACAGCGGCCTGTGACAGCAGAACTGCTCCAAGTGCGGGCTATGCAATTAGCCTTAGAAAAAGGTCTAATGCGGAGCCAGTTTAAAGCGAGCAGGTGCTGGATAACTAACTTTATGAAGAGGAAAGGCTTTTCCCTCCGAAGGTGAACGGGCATATGTGAAAAGTTTTGTGGAGGAGTACGATAAAAAGCTTCACAGTTTTCAGAGGTTCGTCCTAAACTTGCGGCACAACAACGGCTACTTGCTTGGGCAAATCGGGAATGCAGATCAGACGCCTCTTTACTTCGACATGCCCGGCACCACAACCGTCGAGAAGAAGGGGGCGAAGCAAGTTCGCGTGCTGACATCGGTCCACGGTAAAACTACAGTGACGGCAATGCTCTGCTACACGTCAGATGAGCACAAGCTTCCTCCGTACCTCAGATTTAAATGAAAGGTTCTCCCGAAAGAAGTCGTTTTTTTGAGTGGTGTGATCGTGCGGGCCAGCGAGAAAAATGGGTGCGCATTGCAATCGATGTCTTATTTTTTTTTTTTTTTTGTCGTGGAAATCGGGTGCACGTTACAATCAAGGGCGCTGTAGAATCGAGTAAGTACGGTAAATATGTCAAATGCCAGGCTGGTATGGTCGACGATATTCCTGTGTCTTGTGACAAAAAGTACATAGGCTAAACTGAGCAGCGTTCAAACAAGAGGCTCATACAGCATTGCAAAAATGTTAGGAATGGCAAAGAGGGTCACCAGGCGATACATTGAAGAGATTGCAAGTGTGCACCGAATATACACGCATGCCCCGTGATTGCCAAGAGTCGAGATGAGTCGAAAAGATTAATAATCGAGGCAAACAAGATTATTGAAGGCGCTGATCATTGTGTGAGTGTAGCCTTTGTAGCTTCATCGCAAAAAGAAATGTGATACGGTACTGATATGGTGCAGCAATGAAGCAGACAAACTGTCGGCATTAATAGCACTCGTCTTTTCTTATAATAAACATTAGGCTTGTGCAAATATTAAAGTATTTCTAACATACCAACAAATAGTACAGTACTTGAATTCACTTCGATTTGAATTTAAACTATTGAAAATTTCAAAGTATTAGAAATGAACGAATTAGTGTATGTTAGTGCGCATGTAATCTCCGTAAAGGCTGTTTCACTGCAGTGGAGGCTGCTAAGCCGTAAAAGCATCTATTTAAATGTATATTAATCCTAATGTAACTGCCTGTAAAGGTGGTTTCACTGCAGTAAAGAGATGCTAAACCACAGAAATATCTATCGAAAAAAAATTTGCATTGCTATGAAGCCTCTCTTCAATAAACATATAATTTTCACATTGACTCATCATGGCCATTTCATCAGTTTAAAAGCTTGTTATATGGGCTTCTAAGTATAGTAAATTTTACAACGCAACATATTTTACAGGTTATCACTTGCATTCTACCGAAAGTCAAATCCTGTCACAAAGTTGTTTCCTTTGAGCCAAAAACAACAGCATTAGCACAGGCCTTGTTTTAATTTCTGAAATATATTTTGCAGGTTAGTTGGGTATTGACAAGTATGTCCACTTTTCAATGAGAAATTATTCAAACCAAATGACTGGTCTCTTCGAATTCGCTTCGAACCTAAAATTCACTATTTGCACAAGCCTAATAAACACTGTTGGAAGTGGCACCCTGTGGGTGCCCGTCGTCATCTTTGCGCCTGGACTACAAATACGCTATGGAATACAAATACGCCTAATTCACTCTCCCATCACAAAGAAGCCTCATTATTTCAAACCAGTCTCATTATTTTAAGAACGGGTCCTGTACTTTAGGACACCTTTCATACAAATATAAATAAAATAATAACAGCCAAATCTCATTAATTCGAACACGCCTAATTCGAACTTCCGGTTTATTCGAACTCACGATGAGGTCCCATCAAAGCTATGTGTATTCCAATGGGCGAAAAGGCCCTGTAATTCGAACGTGCAAGCACTTGCGACGATTAATTTGAACATACTGCGCTCCGAAGATGCTCTCAGCACCACGTCCAATCTCACAACGGCACCTCCAACACCTCAACACTGCGTGTGAAGGAGGAAACAAAAAAAGGCTGCGGCAGAATGTTTGCTCTCTCTCAAGTGCCGATCTGCTTCTTTCACAGGAAAAACACTCCTCCTTTCTCATAATATGCTGTCCACTTTCTGGCTGCGGTGCAGAAGTTATCAGCAAAGATGCAGTCGTTGCTGTCGTCTTTAGAGAGTGTTGGCGCTGGAAATTGCCGCATGCAACTTTTTTTGCCGGGAGAAAACTGAAGCCGAAATAGAAATGCCTTGCAAACTGCGTGCAAAATCGATTGACTCGCTGCAAGGCAAAGGTGTGCATATGAGCATCACCAATTACTTTAATTAATGACGGATGTCCTGTGTCCTGTGACGCACATGCACTACAGCATGGTGAGCCTTTCAATCAATTATCTTTCATTAATTCGAACTTCTTTTAATTCAAACAAACTTTCGGGTTTTTTTCAGTTCGAATTATCGATATTCGACTGTATAAGGTGTATAAATTGCAACAGATACAAAAATTAAGGCAAGAACACTAATATTAGATATTGAAAAATAACACACACATTTAAATGCTCACAAGTAACAAAAGCAAAAAAAATGTGCACGAAATGTGAAAGAAATATATTTACAGATTGTTTCTGATTGCCAGATTTGTGTGCAAGGAGCCAAAATATTGAAAGAAAGGTGATCAGTGAGGAAGAAAAGAAAATAAAAATACTGAGGGGCAATGTGACTTAACAAATAGGACCAGATGATGGTAAGGAAGGAACAAGAAAAATGTTCGACTCACCAAGGTCAATGTGGATCAGCTCTGCTGAGTGCTTGTCTACCAGAATGTTGGCGCAGTGACGGTCTCCTAGTCCCAACACGTAACCAACTGAAAAAAAGAAAAAAAAAGTAGGGGAAAGTGCCACTCCAGTAAGAAACATCCATGGGACAATAAAACAATATCCAGAATGCCAAAATCATGCAGATCCATGCTGAACATGATTCACAACGGTGATGCGCAATTGAAACCTGCAATACCGATATCGCGAATCAACGAAATATTTTCCTATCCCCTGCAAACTCCCATAATATATAATGCATCTCGCATTTCTCGACAATAAAATGTAGCTAAACTTCAGTTTTGCAACAATAAAAATTGATGGTAAGTTTCCCCAGAGATTAACAGCACATGCACAATCAGCATGTTCCAAAATGTGCTCAAATGTGTTAGCTTCACACCTAGGCGTTGTGAAGTGGCACCACATTGTGACTGCCTGGTCGTTGCCATTAAAATATTGGCCGAAGAGTGGGGAAGGAAGCAGTTGCATGCACCGAACATTATCACTTATCATGTAGCTAGCTTAGACCATTTTTCGGGGGGGGGGGGGGGGGGGGGGGTTAATTATGATAGCAATTGCAATTGTATGGACAGTCTCAGATGGTTTATGTTGTTGATATTACCGCCAAATCCTGTATATGTACATGTATGTATATCTATACCAAACCCACACAAAAAAGAAGTATTTCAGAAAAATATTTTTCAATGCATACAATCGAATGGGTGGCCTCTCACTCTGCAGCGTGCAGAGTTAACTGCTTGGCCACAAAGAACACATCTTTCAGCATAATAACAGTGATCTATTTGTACAGAGCATGCAACGTGGACGGCACGCCATTCTCGGTGACATTTCAGCGTGTTCTCTGCATTACCAGCTAGATGATGCGAAGGGCGTGCTTTAGAAGTTGGCACCTCGCTCATTGCGATGCATGTGCTCGTCTCTCACGTGTACTTTGCCCTATGGGGTGTGGTCACTCATGCGCACGCACTTATCTCAACATGGGGGCAGTCTTGTACAGTCGAAATTAGAACTCGAAAGGGCCCGGAAGCTTGTTCGAATTGAAAAAAGTTTGAATTAATGAAAGCAAAGTAAACGGAGGGCTCCCCATGCAGTGGTGCATGTGCATTGAGCTAACACACGAGGGAGAAGTTTCACAAGACACATTTATTCACAAATCACAGCACATCTATCATTATTTGAAGTAATTGGTGATATGCTACTGTACACGTTTGTCTCGCCTCGCAGCGAGTCAATGAATTTTGCACGTAGCTTGCAAAGCATGTCTATTTCGGCTTCAGCATTCTCCTGGCAAGAGAAGTTGCGTGCGGCAATGTCAAGCGTTGACACTCTCTAAGGACGACGACAACATTGACTGCATCTCTGCTACTACCCTCTGCGCCACAGCCACAGCGTGGCCAGCATGTGACGAGACAGGAGGAAGCAGATCAGCATTTGAGAGAGAACTAACACTCCATGGCAGCTTGTATTTATTTATTTTTTTTTGCTCTCTTCGCAGGCATCATTGAAAGAAGGGTTACGTGGCAGGAACGGTAAAGGAGGAAGCGCGGCACCAGGGCTTGAGAGAGAGCTACACTCCGCCAGCTTCCTTTTTTTTCCTCTCTCTCTTTGTGCACGGCGTTGGAAGAAGGGTCTTTACGCGGCAGGGGCAGAAAAGGGCATGGCACAGGCACTTCGCAGGTCGGCATTGGAGAGAGAGCAAACAATCCACAGCAGCCTTTTCTTTCCTTTTCTTTTCTTTCGCGTGCAGCCTTGAAATGCCAAAAGTGCCACCGTGAGATTGGGCAAGGTGCTGAGAGCGTTTTTGGAGAGCAGTATGTTCGAATTAAGCGTCGCAAGTGCTTGCACATTCGAATTACTGGGCATTTTCGCCCATTGGAATACACATAGCTCTGATGGGATCGCATTGTGAGTTCGAATCAACTAGAAGTGCGATTGAAGCGTGTTCAAATTAATGAGATTAGACTGTACTTTCTCCAAAAGCTGGTGCTAAAGTTACAGAGCGCACAAAAGTCACCCTACTCATTTCAGTGGCCTTGTTTGAGAAAGAAGTGCACTGTTTGAACACTTTGAAGTAGCTGCTGTGACATTCATTAGTTGTGCTCGTCCTTTCTCTCTCTCTGTGTGTGTGTGTGTGCGTGTGTGAACGCATGTGCGTGCACACACACACGTGCGTGCATGTGTGTGCGTGTGTGCCTCATGTCCATTGTGTTTGAGCAGTACGTTAAAAGCCAGCTGTAAATGTTGTTAGTTTGCGCTCGCCCTGTGTGTGTTATGTGCTTCCTTTGTGCTGCATGCTTGATCTGCTTGCTGTTCTTTGTGTGACATACCAATTTGTTGCTATTGCATTCACTTCTTTGCCCTAGCGCCAAAATTGTGACTTTTTGTTTTCATTGCTCTTATGCTTAGTGGCAACGTCATTACTGCTAATGACTTGATGTTGGCCGTTATGAGGCTGCCATGCACAAGTGGTTTTGCTGACGTGCATCAAGCTTTTCTTGTTATTCAATGAATGGCTCCAGGACCCAATTCATTGAAGTTCTATGGCACTGAAAAATGGCGAAGGAGAAATGGGAGCCATGGTTAGATTGGCACACTGCGGCGTCTACTCAGTTATGTCGATAGTTGTGTGTTTGCCCCGCAATGTGTTGTCTCGTCAGATGATTGCTATACTGGCGACAGCTTTCACGTGGGCGTCACTGTACAAGACTGGACACAAGCACACTATTAAGATAAGCTTGTCACTAAAGTGGCTGGAGGCTATATGAGACTGTGTGATCATGCAGTGTATAATATGCAGTTTGATTGATTGATATGTGGGGTTTAACGTCCCAAAACCACTCTATGATTATGAGAGACGCCGTAGTGGAGGGCTCCGGAAATTTAGACCACCTGGGGTTCTTTAACGTGCACCCAAATCTGAGCACACGGGCCTACAACATTTCCGCCTCCATCGGAAATGCAGACGCCGCAGCCGGGATTCGAACCCGCGCCCTGCGAGTCAGCAGCCGAGTACCTTAGCCACTAGACCACCACGGCGGGGCATAATATGCAGTTTGTGTAGTGCTCCGTGAACACACTATGTTGCAAGGGAACAGCTACAGCACTTATAGAATGGCCTGTCAACAAGACATGATGAGTAAACTTTGGCATTAAAGTTTCCTTACTTTTACAGCACTCCTTTGCAGTAAAAATAAAGCAGCCAACAACTATCCCAACTCTTCCTTTGGCTACAATTATCTTGCAATAGCGAAATTTTTACAACAGCAGTTTTTGGGTTGTCTTTCTCACCGTTTTTGTTACCGTGATGATCAACTGTGCAATGAAAAAGGATACTATGTATTACGAAAAAAAACCTAAAGTTATAATATTTCAACATATTTAGCAGTATACCTGAGATGATATAAAAGTGTACTGCAGGAATTTTCTTTTTTTAACAGCCCTTTTTGAAGAGATCCAGCTAGCCCTGCTCTGGAAAGGAACCCTGTTCTGCGAGCCATCAGCTGTTAGTGGATATTGTCCCATAACCTTTTACATTTGTTTGCCCATGCTCTTCGTGCTCATTTATGAAGTACAACCAACCCGTCCACATGACAGTAGTTCAAACTGTTAGCAAAAGAGTATGCTTGCCTACTGATCCTGTGGCGACACTGTGAATGTATGCCCGGCGTCGCTCAAACCATCGGCTGGGCTCTGGGTATTGTTCGAAGAAGAAGTACCGGAAAACTGGGCGGAAGTGGCTGCAGATTTCCTGGTACACGTGCAGGCGCTCTGCTGGGGAACCCTTGTGCACTTTCTGCACACAGCAGGACGAAGCTATCAAAAATGATCACAGCACAAATAACAAGTAAAAGCGGAGGAAGGGCAACACACTGCTGCGTCTTGTCCTTTCTCCTATCGCAGTTGTTTTTGTGCACTACGTAGGTTCCAGGAGAAGCATTAACAAGCCGTTTTCGGTGATCCCACTGGGGACTGCCGATTTGAAGCAATTTTTGGAGCAGTAAAATTTTAGTTTTGGAGCACTTTGGAGCAGTAAAATATTAGTTTTAGAGCACTTTGGAGCAGTAAAAATTTAGTTTTGGAGCATTTTGGAGCAGTAAAATTTTAGTTTTGGAGCAGGTAATCTTGCAACTAGGAGCACCTTGGAGCAGTAAAATTTTAGTTTTAGAGCAGCTAATCTTACTATTAGGAGCACTTTGGCACAGGTATATATTCATAATAGAGCACTTCAAAGTAGTAAGTACCGCAAACACTTTAATATTAAATGGATGCTGACCTAGAACAAAGGATCTTTTAAGATTGAAAAAGGCTTCAAGAACTTTCACGTCGTTCTTTTCACCATCTCAGGTTTATCAATTGGAGAGAAAATATAGGTAAAACATTCATTTCTAAATTTTGCACTGATATCTCTGCACGTGATATCACGAATTTCAATCTGTATTTTTTCTACTTTAGCGACATTCGCTTGAAGTTGTTTCCTGGGACTCGGTACATTAAGTATAGAGTCATCTCAGAAGTCAGTTTACTTTGTTTTTAGTACTTGAGAGCGATGTAGAACCTAGTAACCACGCTGAAACAACGCCTACAACTACTTTCGTAAACGTACCAAACAGTTGCCTTAACACGTTAACACCAGCAGCAGTCCGCCGTCAAAGTGTATCTGACAACGCCGAGATGGAGGCAGAGTACCGTGGAGCGGTGACTTTTGCCTTATTCTATGCCATTCTTGTCATCCATCACTTGCGGCTAGCTGATTTGGTTGATAATGCGGAAGAACAGCTGCTCTGATTAGGTACAACCCTGGCCAAGTGCCAATAAAATGATAAGCATAGGAATTGGAAAAGGCATCGCTCTGCAGTAGCACCCAGCAGCTGAGACAGCTGCGTGAAGGAAACCATGAATTGAGTGACTGAGCTTCAGCTTCGGATCGTCTGTGGCTAGAAAGCAAGCCAATGGCAAAAGCAGGGCAGTCTTGTTGCCATCTCTATCGAGCAATGATGGTGGCCATACTTGCTAAACAGTGGCGGTTTCTGGTGGTGCCAACGCGTGTTTTAGACTTTGTCGACGTATTTTCAGGTTCTGGACATGCATCAAGGTGTTAAAGTTTTGGTTTCCTGAACAGCAATAAATATCTGAACCTGGAATTGCATTGTGAAATTTCATTGAAGTGGGACGTCAGAATAAAAAGTGTTCATTGTGGGGACAATATTTATGCATTGACTCCTATGGACTGCTGACGGGGAACTGTGAATTCTTTGTTGTAGCAAAAATTTCGTTGAAGCAGCGTTCGTTGTAGCGGGGTTCGACTGTTTACTGATCTCATTTATTTAACCCTCAGGGCACATAAAGTCATTACTGAGGGGAGTCTGTTATACAAAAACAAACAAACGAAAAATGCAACATAGAAATACAACATATTAATGAAAATACATGTTAAAATAAACTAAGTTATGAACCCTGAGCTACAATGTACCCAAGCAGTGAAATCAATTACAGAAGTGTGTAAGTACAGATACATTATTATCATGTACACACTTGCTTAATGTCTTTTTCTTTGATAAATTTCAAATTTATGACCGAACCTTGCAGATTTACATAGCATCTATGCTTTTTACAATGTATTCATCACATGCATATTCTTTTTTTTTGCTTTCTTTACTGCTGCTTTTCCTCACACCCATTTTCACAATAAAACAGAACAATACTTTCTTGGTGGTCATTTTGACGTGTGCATTTCTTATTTTCACTTATGTTTCATTCAGCTTTTGTCCACAAAGCCTGTCTGGAATGCTCAGCGCAAACTGCGCCTCATTGTTCGAGAGAAATTGCGATTATTGTATATCGTTCTGTTAAGATTGCACACAAGACGTGAACACTCGAGATAATTCCAGAGCTTGCACGAAGACCAGTGATAGGGCTAGAATATTTGACGGCACATGTGTAATTGCCGAGGCGCTTTGCCGCTTGTCCATTGATTGACGGCCAATGCTCAGTTCGCCGCTATCAGTGCCAGTGTGCATGGCTGTAATCTGACCTTCCGTTTACCAGCCACAAGTTCGGCCAAATAAACAGTTTCATCCTGAATCTGCAGTTTGCTCCCTTCGTCGATGTCATGACTCTGTGACAATACTATTGACATGTATTTTAACCTGTTCACAGTGCACACAAATGTATTTATATGTATTTATCACCGAAGAAGAAAGTGTGATATTAATGAAGCTACAACAACAAGAAGCGTTGTTTGTACTACACAAGCGTGCACTGCTGCTGTTGCCACACTGGCCTCGTCAAGCTGTATGCTTACAGCTTTCTTGCTAAGGTGACCTTCAACATTGTACTTTGTGCATGTTGTAAATACAATTTGACTCGATTAAAAGGCCGAGGGAGCAAAAAGAATAAAATATGCTGCTTGTGCCTTAGTCTTTCTTTTAGAGTTCCGCACTACAAAGCATGTCATTTGGTGTACCAAATCGCCCACAAAAAAAGCTATCGTAAAATTTCTGTGTCTGAGCTTGTGTCATGAACGTGAACGCAATATAGGCATGACACAAGTTTCATCATAATGACCTCTCCCATCTGTACCTTGACATTTAGAAATCACAACGGCTGTGATAAGAGAAATAAAACAACACTGGCAGGTGTGAACAATCTCAACGACATGTATGCATGCATTTATGCTTACATTTATATGCGCATTATGCATACACTTTCATGTGTGTTTGCAAATATGTCATGTATATTTATTTGTTCACATATATATGTGTGAATTTGAGTACACTTATGGAAGGAATTGTGTACATGTTTACATGTCTGCCCATGGTATACGTATACAGTTGAACTCCGCTACAACGAACGCCGCTTTAACGAAATTTCCGCTACAACAAAAAATTCGTGGTTCCCCGTCAGCGGTCCATGGGAGTCAATGCATAAATATTGTCGCCACAGTGAACACTTTTTCTTCTGCCGTCCCGCTTCAACGAAATTTCACGACGCAATTTCAGCTCAGATATTTATTGCTATACAGGAAACCCAATTTTTTAACACTTTGAAGCCTTTCGAGAACCTGGAAATACGTCAATGAAGTCTAAAATACACGTTGGCACCACCAGAAACGACCGCTGTTCAGAAAGCATGGGGGCCGCCATTGCGCGATAGCGATGGCAATGAGACTGCCCTGCTGCATGGAGGATGGCCCTGCTATTGCCACTGGCATGCTTTCGAGCCAAAGACGATTTGAAGCTGAGGCTCAGTCGCTCAGTTTATGGTTTTCTTCACGTAGTAGCTGCTGCGTGCAACCGCGGAGCAATGGCTTTTCTGATTCCAATGCTTATAATTTTATTCGCGCTTGAACAGTGTCGTACCTAATCAGAGCAACTGTTTGTTTGCATTATCAACCAAATCAGCTAGCCATGGATGGATGATAAAAATTGTATAGAATAAGGCAAAAGTCACCGCTCCACGATACTCTGCCTCCATCTCGGCGTTGTCGGATACACTTTGACGGCGGACGGCTGCTGGTGTTAACGTGTTAAGGCAACTGTTTAGTACGTTTACGAAAGTACTAAACAGTTATGTTTAGTACTTTCGTAAACAACGCCTACAACTACGAAAGTAGTTGTAGGCGTTGTTTCAGTGTGGTTTTCATCATGGCCTCGCTATGCATGACTGTGAATGGCGTCGTGATGCTGCTGGGAAAGAATAGGTAGAAATTAGAAGACACTTACTTAATTTAAAAATAAACATTCCTTTGTTTTGCTAGCTCAAATCAGCTATATTTTTTCGATTTCACTACAACAAAATTCTTGCTTCAACGAAATATTTTCCGCGCCCCGTGAGTTTCGTTGTAGTGGGGTTTGGCTGTACACTTATGGCCATACTTTTACCAAGACCAAGTAAAGTCCCTTACAAGGCTAAACAAGAGCGTGCTACAGATGTTCAATGCATCAAGGTCCCATCACCCCCCATTTCTATGCTGGAGTTCAATTATTAAGAAATTTTGTGGAAGTAGTGCTCTAAAGAAAGAAATTAGTACAATGGATAATCTTGAAACCATTTCCATAAATTTCTGAAGATTTTAAGAGATAATAATCACTCCAGAACTTTTCAAGGCCTCTGAAACACAATATTAAAATTCGAGGGTTTCCAATAACTCTCAAGGGCCTGTAGACCCCCTATAGGTCGCCCAGGCATGGCGTGGTTAGACAGCATTTTTCAAGTCATAAGGAAGCACATAATCAACTAAACCGATGGGCCCAAACCACAGTATCATTATGAGGCGTTCAGAAACAGAAATGACATCCCTTGCTCAATGGTGCAAAAAACCCACTAAGGGCTTGCTGACCTGCATGGCAGAGCGGCAAGTCGCCGCCGTCCAGTCATGCGGCTGGTAGCGCTGGTGGGCCCCTGTTTGTGGTGTAAGCAGGAACTCTGAGAATGGCTGTGTCCCTTCACACCACTGCACCAGGCCACTGCGGCGTGAAAGTGGAACTACCTAGACACACCAAAGCGAACTCCTGTTAATACAAACTCTGTTAAGCCAAATCATTTTATTTATTTGACATTAGTCGAGGTGGCTTCGTAAGGAGACATAAGAGTCTTCCTTTGTATTAACTCATGGACATATTTTACAATTGTATATATATGTGAGACGTCCGCGGCTACGCCACCGATTACCAAACAGAGGGAAGGCCACTCAACCCCTTGTCTATCCGGTTCCCTCTTGGCTATGTGCCCAATCACTCCCCACATACAGGGATTCGTGCTGGGGCCGGGAAGTAAGAGACGCTACGACCTGTTTCTGTTTACTGATTCATTTAATTTATTACTAACTGAAAACATCGTATACTGGCGTACATCAACAACTACACAAAATTATAACACATGATTTAGACACTCGCGACATTCGACCCAGGGCAGGCACATAAAGAAAGTAACTGCAACAATACAAGGGTATGCATATATAAAGAAAACACATGACACAAATGATGAAGTTATCAATGAATAAAACAACGCAATGTCTCAACGCACTGCTTCCCTGCCCGCAAAGCTTGTCTAAATAGGGTGCATAAAGTTCGTCTCACGAATGGTCCGTGTTGTCAGTCTTCCTCGTCTTCGTCTTTTCTTCATCTCTCTCAGCAATTTCCATCTTAATCTTCTTTCATAACGTCCCCAATCACTCGCTTCCTCGTTTCCCATCTCTAACTTTCATTCCTCGTAATATCATCTCATCGACTCTCATTGCTATCTCTTCACACCGTTATCTTCTTTTTCCATTCCGTATCTACCATCTCGAGCTCGTCGTATCGTATCTCTCTGACCCCATCTTAGCCCTCTTTGTAGGACCCAACTCCGCCCTACCGGGGCCCCAAACCAATCGCCGCTATCGACGCGGCATATTTTTTTGTCAGTCGGCGTGTATCATCTTCGACGGCCGCCCCCGCGGCTCACACCAGTAGAAAACCCTCTCCCAAACAAAGCCGAGCAAGTAACAATGTACAAACTCAAGCCTCAGAGAGAGAGATGGGCGAGCTGTCCCAAAACACTTTAATTACGGGCAAACAATGGTCCCGATGCTTCCGGTACTTGATGAGACGATGTCCAGACCAAGTCTCAACGTTTCCATGCAGCTCGGTGTCTCTCGCGAAATTCTCCGTAGCCGCCGCTTCTTCGTCATGCAACGCCGCGAGTGGCCATCCGCGCAGAACGCAGTAATGAGCCCTGGAGCCACGGAGGCTGACGAAAAGTCAGGTCGGACCCTGCACAGGCGCTGCGGCAGGGTCGCATTCCCCAAACCAACAAAAGGCGCTCTGCTGCTCCCCCATGCCACAAATCTGAAGGGTGCGCGCACATTATCTCCACTGTACACTGTCACACTGTCTGTAGACAACAAGGTGCCGCCCGGTCCTCGTGTTTGCACGGGGGAGCCCGCGAGAACAGTAGAAGTAATCCTTCCAGGTACACCACTCCTGAATGCCCATTCGTAACACCGAAGGTTTTCTTTTCTTTTTTTTTTATGCGTGGCTTTAAGAAATGAGCGTAAATATCCTGAAAGGACCGGGGTTCAGTCCGTGTTTGTGGGGACATCACATATGTGTGACGTAAGAAGGCAGCGACGGTTGGTAGAAGCAGAGGAGGAAGAAGTGTGAATGGAATAAACATGGGGTATGAGCCAGGCCACGTCGCCCATTCATCATAGCGTCACACGAGCCGACAGGATGGAGTCCTGCCTGCCCCTTCATCAGTCACTCATCATCGACGCAGTTCCCCAGAAGACACCCTGACCATACATTGACTACCGAATCATCGCCTAGAAGGACAACGACCAGCACCATGACAGAACCATCGGCTGACCTCGACATCCCCAAGTACACCGGATCAGCGGACGACGGACCCGTACAGGACTGGTTAAACCTATTCGAGGTCCACGCCGCCGCCGCATCCTTGTCGGAACGGGAGATGATCATCAACTTCACTGACATCTCCGGTGAGGCATTTAAGTTTTACCTCACCCACATCTTTGAAAATGACCAGTCTTGGCAAAAGATAAAAGAGGAGATGATTACCCGTTTTAATGACTATAACCAAGACTTACTCATTGCCAACCATCTAGAGACAACTGCACACTATCATCGATTTCCTAAGCAGTCCTCAAGCATTCAAAAGTCCAGCGCGAATCGAAAAGTGCCTCAAGACGAAGTGGCGCATGCGTTTACTTATAGAAGGCCATGCGTATATTGGGAAAAACCCAACCGTCAAGCGCAGCTCCCTTGTGCACGAAAGTCAGCATTTCCAAAGTCACGGCACCAACATACGACACGAGACGTCGCTCACCCTACTGATGCTTTTCATGCTTCGTCTCGCATACATGGTCCACCACCTGGTTTTCTACGACGCAGCTCTTCAAAGGCTCCTAACGGTCACTATTCGTGTCATAAAGACGCCTTCTTCATGGTAGACCAGCTGACACATGGGGAAAATACCAAACAACGCCAAGATGACTCAAAGAGTGAAAATCAGTCTTCACGCATTGGAGCAGCTTATTCCCCATCTCGCAGACTTGGCCCGCCTCCTGGTTTTCCATCGCTTGGCTCTTTCGTGACTCACAATGTCCATCTCACATCTAGCACGCTCACAATGGTCGGGATAGAGCTGCGGAGCTCGGACGATGCTACGCCAAGCCCTGGACTTACCACCCAGATTCATGCGCCAGAACAGCTCGCATCGTTAGTTACACAGAGAAAGAGGGCCATTCACAACTCAAACCTTACCGAACCACCCCTGTTGCGGTGTTGCCGTCCAGTGCGCAGCCACCAATAATTCCAAACACAGAAGGCTCAGACGCATCGAACATCGCATGCTATCAGGCGCAAGAACCACTCATAGTGAGCCGCGAAGAAGCCCCTGATGAACTATCTGTCAACTCTGAATGTTTTTTGTCGCAAGAGTTCATTTCCACGGCACCGCAGACTTGCCAAAATTTGCATTTTCAACCTGGTGATGCAAAGTCACATGTGGTACCCTCATGCAGTGGTCACCAATCCAAGAATCGAACCAATTCAGAAGCAAATCATACATCAAACCTCGTACACAGTTGTCTTTCAGAAGCGTCCGTAATCAACCACGTCACAGAAGCCTCTGAAGAGCAGGCTAGCAATGATGGCGCACCACCAACCATGCCCAATAAGCAAGAAACCTGTTCACCATGCATCAGCTGTCTACAGGACATGTCATACCTCGAAGTAAATGAATGTCCCATTCCGGAAGGCTTGCCACTACAGCCATCTCCTGAGCAGCATCAGCAAAGCAAGCATAGCCAAGCGCGCAACCTCATGCGACAACAAAATAGACTGCAACGAAGGCATCGACGAATGCGAAATTCAACGGAAGCACACTCACCAATTGAAGAACAGCGGAAAATGAGATCTCTAACCCAAAAAGTATTCCAAGACGTCAAATTTTCTCGCACAGAGGAAAGTCGCCAGAGACGCTCCCTGCGCCTGCAGTTACACAGACCACAACATCGCGGAAAACGCCAAGAAAGATGCGGAAGCACTTCTTGCATACCGCCAGCCCGCAGGCATCACGCCGTCACAATCCGTCAAGAAGCACGCATTTTAGAAGCAAAGCGTCTGTCGCAGCCACGACTCAGAATCCATCGCATGAGATATGCGACCTTCCAACGCTACAAGGACTCCCAACCTTGTTCGTTCCTCAATACTAACCAGGTTGTGCCATCATCATTTTTAACGCTGAAGGCATGGTTATGTTCTCCAGAATGCAACAGCCAACCTCGCCCACCTGAGGCCTCTTGGATATCACCGGACTGCCTTTCTTGTGAACATTTTGTGCAAGTGCATGGAACCGCCGCGTGGCATGGAACTACTGCATTTTCTGGCAGTATTTTTTTATTATAAGACTCCATTTGTTCATGCTTTCTAGATTGTAGCTCGCGCATTCTTTCGGGGGGAGGGGGAATCATGTGATGTAAGAAGGTAGCGACGGTTGGTAGAAGCAGAGGAGGAAGAAATGTGAATGGAATAAACATGGGGTATGAGCCAGGCCACGTCGCCCATTCATCATAGGGTCACATATGTATGAAATAAAAAAAAATTGAAAACGAATTGAAGGAAGCATGGTTGGTATTTTTGAAGACTTAATGTGAAAAAATCTTTATTATTAAAAACCAATTACAACTAACTTTTCCAGCACCTGCCGATGCTTGGTCTTTTCTACTTCACGAGTTCCGGCAACCAACTAGTTCAGGTAGTGATAGAAACAACATCCCGGCAACGTCAGGGTATGACCGTAGTTAAGGGGCCCCAAACTACCTTCAGTATTATACTAACAGTTTAAGTAAACACGTTGTGGGGATCTGAGGCATACCCGCTACCATTTCATGGGCATTCTGCCGTACAGCCGCTCTCCTTTTCCTTTCCTGTGCTCTGGTAACGGCGCGTGGCGATAGATGGTGCCACGCACTGGCGCGGTGCGCGTTCTCGAGGGTTGCGAGGATTGGCGAGGCCGAGTCACGTGTGCCCCAGAAAGAATCTCTCCATCGTTTGCTCAGCGCCCAGTAAGCACGTGGTTTTCCCTTCGTCCGGATCCCCTTTAGGAATCGCCAGACTGTAGCCTGCCCGGGTGCCTAGGCATCTACGGCGGGCATGTTTACCTGAGTATTAGCTTCGGTATCGTACGCTAAGCCAAACAGCGGTGCCTAGCGCTTGAAGTGGTCATACCTTGCCAAGCTGCACTTGCCGTAGGCCTACACGTACGAGGTTTGCCCTAACTCTCGCAACCATGCCCAGTGGCCACCGTGGGAGTACGCAGCATAGCCGCGAGGGACCTTTTCCCGAGCGGCATGTCAGAGCTTGCCATTGCCAGCTGGGACGTGCTCGCGGTCTCCTCTTCATCGTGAACGTCCGCGCGCGGGAGCTTTTGCTCCCCTCGTCCCGGGAGCGGACGTTGTACTGTTGTTTGGGGGTGCCGCCAAAGGCAATAAAGTGTTTGTGTATCGCTGTTAATCTAACAATGTCTGTTCTGCCGCGCAGCGCTAATAGCTTTGTTAGTTGAGCACGCATGGAGCGGTGCGCTACACGTGAGTATGCGACGGAGACGCGGCCCTGCAGCTCGCTAAGCCTGAACCCACGATGATCTTTCACTACGGTGAGTAGCGAGGTCACTACAACATACATCAAGGACAGAATGTTGTCATTATCAACAATGCCAAATGCAGCAGTGCTGCAAGCTGCGGGCTCACTACAAAAAAAAAAAAAAAAAAACCACGCTCCTTTCAAAATTTCCAGCATTAGTTGTGGTCTCACGAGCCGCATCTGGTTATGTGAACAGCAGCAGCAGGTAAGTGCACTCCCTGCTCTTCCTACTTTCCCCCTTGGAGCACTTACTTCATCAGAGCATCAGGTGCCACCCGGAGTGGCACGACACCAATGCTATCATGTTTGCCACACTTAACCCCTCGGCTTGATGAACGCACCCCACATAAAACCATCACAAGCCACAAAAACAAAAAAAAAAAACAATGTCAACCTAGCTTTTTGGGCTTATTGGTTTTATGCTTCAAAATGTGGCATTGCGCTAACACACTCGGACAGGGAAGTGACAACAGGACAACCAGAAAAAAGCAATGGTCGAAAATTGCATTAAAGTAAGGCCTGAATTGCGGCAACTCTCTCTAGCACAATTTGCAATTTGAAGACTGTGTTTCCCCCCAAAAAAAAAAACTGCATGCAAGCTAATACAGTTCTGATAGAAGCCCTAAAGACTTCTTCCCATCAACAAAGCTCAAGAGATGCCTGAAAAGTCGCTGTTTTGATGGTGTTCTTGCAATTTTAATGAGTAGTCACAGAGAGTCTGAAATAGGTCATGGCAGATGATTTTCAGGGAGCCTTTGCTGTTTGATAATCCCAATGAAAATTGTGTGTAGACAGCCAAGAAGACCATTTTGCAGAATTTAATAGTACATACAGATCCAATCATTAAGTTCTATTTACTAGAGCTAGTCTCACTACTTTACGGACAGACGCTGTACATTGAAAGACACAAATTGTAGCAGAGCAATGTTTCTCATCACGGAAGTCGGCAGGGGGGAGCACTAGGGGCATTTTAAGGCCCACCAGTGCTTGCCCCCACCCAAGTTGCACGAACGTCCTCACATCCCTCAACCGCGATGAAGGATGTTTGCACCCCAAGACAAAATCCTGCAGACAACCATGCCTCTCATGGCGAAGCCACCTAATTAAGGTGACATGACCACTGCAGGCTCAAAAAACTGCATGGCCACTTCAGTGAACAACAAACTAGATACCGTAAAAGCTAAAAAAATCGTATAATCTGAGCATGTTCTCAGGCACTGGCAAGCAAATATTAACTGTTCAACCGCTACAAACTCTCATTAATGCGCTTGCCACAGCTCGGTTAATTAAGACGATGCTCGAAGCACACCATGCCCGAAACGCCACAAATATGCGATGCAGAGCAGCATTTCTCAACAGGCATCACAAACACCATAACAATAATTGCTGGTGCTTTACGTCCCAAAACTGCAATATGATTATGAGAGATGCCGTAGTGGAGGGCTCCGAAAGTTTTGACAGTTCTTTTATTTAGTCTGCTGACATTTCACAGTACACACGCCTCTAGCATTTCGTCTCCATTGAAACCTGACCACCATGGCTATGATCAAACCCACAACCTTCAGGCCAAGCACCGTAGCCGCTACACTATGGCAGAGGGCATCAAGTACAAAAGCATCTTATTTGGCAATACACCTGTTGTGAGCCTCACCTTGTAGGTACGCATGGCCAGCCTCCCAGCAGTTCCCTTCTGAGCAAGCAGGCAGTTGACCAGGCCAAAGGCCTGTTGCATAACTGCATCTTGGCGCAGGTCATCACGGCCCTGGAAGACAACACTGGACTTCAGCATGAGTCAGAAAAACAGCGTTCAAATGAGGTACGGTTGTGTAAACTTAGCCTCAACGCAGCTTACAGGGCATGCCATTTTCTACGCGTCTCTTGAGGCTGCTCATGTTGAAAGTTGCTTTTCATGGTCGCCTATTTTTTCAGGTTGCCATTCGAGATGTTCTTACTGTATTAGCAGAAAACTTTAAAAAATAAATGTACAAAAGTGCCCTGTTAGCACAGAAAGGGCAGTTTGGTGCACTTCCATCCCTTCATTTATTGCTGCTCGCTTGCCTTTTACCAGCCTGCAGGTAACATGCTGGCAGCCCATCAAAATTTGAAAGTGGTAAGCTGCCTGAGAACTTGTACCCAGTGAAGGAGAGGACACGTTTAGTGAAATGATAGGGCTTGGTACAGAGACTGGTCATGAAAAAATTACAAAACCGTGACTGCTCTTTATATTCCATTTGGCAATGCCATAGGCAGAACCAACCAATGTTGCCAACATCACAAAACCACAGCTACGGCATGCATAGCAGTTGTAGCAGGCGACAATAACACACTCCACCATGCTCGTGCTTGTGAGCATTCTGGGATCTACATTATGCACAATGTGTCCACAATCTGAACAGACAAACTGAAGAACCTTGAGTGAGCATCACTTGCACTGAGCGATAACAGGTGGTGCAGTGTGGTTAATTTCTTTTGTTCCACCTTTGAAACATCTCTTTCTTAAATTTCCAGCAGTTTTGGTCAGTTACTTAGTGCGGTCCCTTTGAAAAAGAAACATGGTCTTGGTTGTCAATACGCCTGGGACTATTGGCTCTGACTGGCTCAAATGCAGAAGCAACTGTTTTTGAGCTTGCAGTAAAGGCACTGCCACGGAATGCTGAGCACAAGGAAGAAAAAAAGACATGCATGAAAAAAAAAAAAATGAAAACAGAAGGAGGTGTAAAGAAGAAGTTGAAGGAAAATGATAACGCCAGCAGGAATATTGAGCCAAAAGGGTGACTCCCCATGTATTTTCAGAATCTTGCCATGAAGACCTGAACTAAAACAGGAACTACGATTTTAAAACAGAATGAACAGGTAGACTACAGTGCCAAAATCTGTTAAGACCAGCTTAAAAGAATCTCTACTGCAGTAGTTGTGTACTGGAGCAAAAAGCCCTCTGTTAGGAGCTAATGTGTGCACAATATGGCAACTATGCAAATTCTTTACAACGAGTATTTGGCAACACACATACCATTTAACATTGACTATGTTTCAGACTTCCGGTTCCATGCTTTATAAAGACAAAACTGAGCATTTAGATAAGTTGGCAAATATACATAATGTGGCTGAATTTGGAAACACTTTTAAAAGCGATACGCAAGAGATTACTTGAAGTCAGGAATCTCAAACATGCTGCCTGCTGACCTCTTGCTAGCAGCCCATAGCCTGATCATGACTCTCTTCGTCCGATATTTTTGAAATTTTTGTATAAGTACGTTTATGAGCAAATCATGCATAAATGGCCTTAGGCCTCTTTTTCATGAGGCACCCTCTGCAGTTACCATGTGTTCATACATGACCAAGAAACAAGATCTACATTCAGCATCCAGATTTTAGCAATTTTGGGGATCGAGATCCGTATCGATGTGTTGTTCGTATCATTGTACCAAATCTTCTCCAGACATGACTCATATATAAGTGAAAGGCCTCTAAAATGGCAACATTAGCTCAATTTTTTACAGCCCTTCCCTCTTTCACTTATACCTTTTTCACTATGGTGGTCCTTGCATAAGTAAATTTTTGTGACTGTGGCTCGTTAGCTGAGTTTGAGAGTCCTGCTTTACGTAAACGCTCCACTCGAAGAAGGTCCAATGAATAAAAAGGATTCTGTATGAAGAGCTCACAAAACAGCGTGCAAGAAAGTACACCACCTTGACAAGCTGCTTGTACTCGCAGCCATCTTGACTGACACAGGTGATGACCTTTGGCTTGTTGATGCCTCCACACAATCGATAATGCGCTGAAAACCTCAAAATTCCTGGCAGGTTGCGATATGAGCCACTGCGGTCCACCTGTCAGGCATAGTAGCAGAAAAAGTAAAGGAAATTCATAATGACTCTGTTTGATTAGTAACCATTCAAAAGGCCGTGTCCAAATAGGGAAGAAGAATCATTACTTTGATAGTGAAACTTAATGTCATGTTATATTGAGTGAAAAGCACTCACATGCCTGAACACAATGGTGGCTCCCATAGCATCAATCTCGGAGAGCACAGAAGACACGAAATATGAATATGAACATGGAATCACGAATATTCATTGTATTTGGGTAAATTTAATGCACACTTTTTGCCAGAGAACTGCCACCGCATATAGGTTGAATCGAAACTTGATTTGCGATGGTGGAAAACACGATGAGCTGGCACTCAACATTTGTTATACATTTTTATTTCCGCAGTTCTAAATCCGCAGTTCTAAATATGAAAGCTCGGCATGTGAAGCTCAATGGTGAGTTGAATGAGTTGAATTCAGTAGCACCAGGTATGGAAACCATGCCACCTTTTGGGCCAGTAAACAGTGCTCAATGTCTCAAATACTTTGCACTCCCACACAACAGAATCAGCCAAATGAAGCAGAGATTTGTTTGTGTCCATTAATTTTATGTGCCAAATAAATTGATTGGTTTCAATACTCCAATCATGGAAGTATTAATGAAAGATGTATTAAGGAAGAAGAGCAGCTGAAAAGGTGCACTGCTTCAATAATTCTAGGAGGAATTAAACAGTTATTCCTTCTATTTGTGTCGTTTGGTAAATCCTCACCTCAACATTTTGTGTCAGCACAGGTATACTGTCCATTGTTCCCAACTTGAGCAGTGGTGTCTCTCTGGGGAGCCGAACTGCATTTGGTGAGAAAGAGAAGAAGCTTTCTGATGGTTTAATGAAAACTAGTGCATGCCGCATACCGCCCTCACAACCATACGCTCTTCTTCTAAGGCGCAAGCCTCATACATCTCGCCGAAACGAAAATTGACCAGCACCCCCTGTCGGCGTCCACACGAGTGATGCGAAAAATCCCCCCCATGTTATGGTGTCATATGGTGTCACAGATTGCTGAAACTAATGACATAACTGAAACTATCACGCATGTGCCAACATTTGGAGCCCTGAACCGAGCCAGACGAGATCTGTCGGAAACTGCTAAAACCTGGTGCATGGGCTGCTCGGGCACCTTTCATATTCCTCCGCTGGGGTTAGAGCACAGTCGGCTTTTAACCTTCGAGCACTACTGCGAGCTAAAACACTTCTGGGATATTTTATTGCTTCCTAATATTCGTATAAATCCATTATTTTAGAGCAAGCAAAGGCTAACCATAGGTCTACGACTTCAACGTCACCTTGTTAATGCCTATGGCGGCCAGCGTTGACATATTGTTGCTTTAAGATTGCAAAACTTCTAGTATTTCGAACGGCTGTTATTCAATATAGGCTGAATAGTATATAAAAAAAAAGGAATCATCATGCCCAATGCTTATTGAAGCAATAAGAATTACTATTGGGTGACTTTCACGAACCCTTCAATAGCGAGTTAAACGTGAAGCTACAGCAGTGAGCCTTTGCGGTGCTTACTTTGTCCTCGTGGTGCATTGGGTGGGTCCAGGTATGCCAGATTAATGTACGCATCCATGAGCCGCTCAAGTGGGCCCAGAATCTTGGAGCAGAGGCCATTACCCTTGCGTAATTGTGACACAAGGTGGCGTGCGCCCTCCACACGGTCCTGTTCAGGGCAGTGTTTGCAACATTGTAAACACAACACAAATGAAACTGTGTGCATCAGCCTCTAACGGTGGCGGGTCTAAATAGTTGAAATATTTTTACAAATAATTAGGTCAGTTATAAAAAAAATGTACAATTATGGCCAAGTGAAAGGTACTTTCTGAACATCATACAGTGCTATCTAGGTCATACAGTCATGCAAAACACATAAACCACATTAGCCATGTGTCAAGTCAATAACACTCCGCATAGTGTGTATACAATGAAAATTATGCTGCTTAGAGTGTACAAGTGTTCTTAATATAAATCAGATTCTATGGACTTACGATAGATAACAGGAAGGGTGAGAGTCAACAATAGACTGTACTACAGAATGCCATTGCCCACTCCATTTTTGTAAGTTGCAATGGGTAGGGCTAATATATAAAATTTATTTAAAAGCTATGCAGAGCACAAAAACATAGCCGAGACAGCAGACAGTCTCTCTTCGAAATTCTAGTTCGCTTCCTTGTAATGGCCAATATCTATAGCACTAAACTGTTAAAAAATCCATACTCCTGCAAGACACAGCTCATTTCTTCTACTCATAGCAAACTCTCAGCTTGTGACAAAAGCTCTATTTTCTATTGTGCCTGTGTTGATTTTGCCACAGCATTTAGTAATGTACATCATCAGCAACTACTTTGTGAGGCAGCCAAATTAAATGTATATCCCAAAAATTTAAACCAGATTTAGTATTCTCTCAATAACCATTTACAGTCGGCTCTGATTAAACGGAACCTGAAGAGACCAGTAAAATGTGATCCGTTTAACAGGAGTTCTGTTTACTGAGAGATGAACAAGGGCAGAAAATCCAAGTCTAAAACTAATAATGCTGGAGGCAGTTGTTCCATTTAAGCAGCAGTCCACTCAACAGATCTCCGTTTACTGAGTCTACTGTACTTGATATCTGATTGCCAATAAGTTCTCTTCAACTTCCTGTGATGTACCATATGGTGTGCCTTAGAGATGCATATTTAGGTTTTTATTACTTTCATTATTAATAACCAATTCTTTGACATCATTCAACCACTGGTTGATTTGCTTGCAACAGATTCCGTTGTTTACACTATGAACGCCAACAATACCTATAACTCACACCCAGAGTCTGACCTTGACAGAGTTTCAAATTGGTGAGTTGCTGTTAGGCGCCATCAAGTCACTGACGACTGCTGGTGGTACTGTAGGAAGACGTGGGGCGTTTGGTTTCCTACATATTTATTTATCCTTACTCTGGCTTGGACGTCCACAGACGCTGTCGTTGTTGCTGGCGTCTTCTTCTCCCATGCTGACTCAAACACCCGGAGCAGCTGCGGCACAACTTTTTCGTTTTCTCCGAGACGCTGACGGCTTGCTATAGGCCCCCCCCCCCCCACCCCCTCCCCTCTAGCGAGGTAGCCCGTGAGCGAAGGAGCGAACCCTATGAGCAGGTTGTAGGTTCTGCTATTGCGAAGCGCGTTTGTCTGGTATTCACGGATAACTTGTAGTCTTCGAGGACAGCGTCAGTGTCAAGGAAAGCCGGCTTTATGCGCTCAATGGAGACACTGTCTTCGCGTCCATTAAGCAACAGAATGAAATGCTTCGGGCAACACTTGACGACCTTAAAGGGTCCGTTGTAAGGAGGCTGCAGTGGTGGTCTGATTGAATCATGTCGTACGAAGACGTGGGTGCAGCCATGAAGGGCACGACTGACGAAACTTGGGCATAAGTGTTGACGTGCAGGAATAGGGGACACATCTCCCATGGCATTCCTGGGGCGACTGGCATAATCAGCTACGTCCAATGGTGATACCGGTGACGTGTCGTAAAACTGTCCAGGAAGCCTTAGGATAGTGCCAAATACGAGCTCAGCTGAGGAGCAGGACACGTCCGCACATATCGTGCTGCGCAAGGCGAGGAGGACGAGTGGTAGTCGCTCCGTTCAGGGTATCAACTATTGCGAGGCCATGAGCGAAGCTTTGAGTTGGCGTTGGCGGTGAAATCGCTCAACCATGAAATTCGACATCGGGTGGTAGGCCGTTGTCTTTATGTGGTTGACACCAAGCATTCGGGACAAGTTGCGGAAAAGCGCGGAGTCGAATTGACGACCACGATCTGTTGTGATGGTCTTGGGAACTCTGTAGCGGATTATCCACACGGTGATGAGTTCTCGGGCGACTGACTCTGCCGTGATGTCGGTGAGGGGTAGTGCCTCAGGCTACCTCGTGAACTGGTCTACGCAGGTCAACATGTACCGGCTGTTTTGCGATGGGGGCAAAGGGCCTACGAGGTCCAGGTACACGTGACTGAACAGCGAGTCAGGAGGCGTGAAAGTACCCAGTGGGCTGACCGTGTTGCGCTGGACTTTGGTTAGCTGGCACTTGACACAAGCACGTGTCCAGCGGCGGACGTTGATGTTCATTCGAGGCCATAGATATCGCCCTGTGATGAGGCGCTGAGTCGCACATATACCGGGGTGCGACAAGGAATGCAAGGCGTCGAAGACTCTGCGGCGAAATGGTTCTGGAATGTAAGGGCGAGAACAACCGGTAAAGGTGGCGCAAATGAGGGGATTGCGCAGCCTGGAAGTTGGACGTCTTCGAGCTTGAGAAAGTTCTCTTGGAGTTGCAACACCTGAAGCTCGCTGTCGTCCTGTTGTGCAGTAGCCATGGCTGCAAAATCAACTGGTGGGTGCTCATCCATAGTTGCGTTGATTTCCATTCGGGAAAGTGCGTCAGCGACGGGGTTGTCTTTGCCACTGATGTGCCGGATATCACTCGTGAACTCCGATATGTAGGCAAGCTGGCGGATCTCACGTTAGGTGTGGGAAGAGTTGGTAGCGGTCGATTGACACGTAATCGACTTGTGATCGGTGAGAATATAGAACTGCCGACCTTCTAGGAAGTGTCGAAAGCACTTGACAGCCAAATAGGCCACGAGCAGTTCGCGACCGAATGTGCTATAAAGACGCTCGGTCTATGAGAGCTTCTGTGAGAAGAAAGCAACCGGCTGCCAAACTTCATAGACCAACTGCTGCACGACTGTTCCTATGGCGACGTCCGAGGCCTCCACTGTGAGTGACGTGATGGCGTCGCTCTTTGCTATGAGTGAAGAGCGTTGGGTTAGCCAGAGCTTTTTGATAGAAATGAAAGCTGTTTCTGCATCACCCGTCCAGAAGATGGAAGCGTTGGGCTTCATTTGACCAGATAAAAGTGCATGGAGTGGTTGCAAGATGGCAAGCCCGAAGAATTCACGTAGTTTCTTCGTAGTTGTTCGTCGCGGAAACTGTAATATAGCTTCAACACACGCGACCGGTGGAGAGATCCCATGCGAATCCACGTGATGGCGAGATAGTCCAGTGAGGAATCGCCGAACTCGCTCTTTGGTTCGTTGACGATTAGTTCGTATTTGCGGAGTCGTGTGAAAAACTGACGCAGGTGAAGTTCGTGATATTCTGCAGTGGTGCTGAAGACAAGGATGTCGTCGATGTACGCGAAGCAGAAGGTCAACCCATGAAGTACCTGGTTCCCGAACCGTTGAAAGGTTTGTGCGGTGTTTCATAGAACGAAGGGCTTACACGTGTATTCAAACATGCCAAAAGATATTATTACGGCAGTCTTCTGTACATCGGAAGGCTCCACAGGTATTTTGTGGTATGCCTTTACTAAGTCAATTTTGGTGAATACGGTGGAACCATGCAGCAATGCCGTGATGTCCTGGATGTGCGGTATCGGATAGCAGTTCGGTACCGCCACTTCGTTGAGGGCGCGGTAGTCACCGCATGGTCTCCAGTCACTAGAGGGCTTGGGAACCATGTGTAGCAGTGACGACCAGGCACCAGAAGAGGGGCTGACGTATTAGATTTCAAGCATGTGCTCGAATTCTTGGCGTGCAATCTTGTAGCGGTCAGGAGCGAGACGGCGAGCATGTGCAAACACCAGCGCTCCTACTGTCACTATGTGATGAGTGACATCAGGTCTTCAAGAGATGGAGCACGAAAGAGGTCGGAAAACTCTTGCAGAAGCGTAGACCACGGCAGGGAGACTTTGGCATGAGCTTGCACAAGACGCAAGGGTGGCAAATTTGATGTCACGCCCTGAACTGTGAGGAGGGTCTCAGAATTCACAAGACGGCTACGTCGTAGGTCTACCACAAGCTTAATATGCCAAAGAAAATCCGCACCGATGATGGGTACACGCATGTCGGCAATTAAGAAGATCCACCGAAATGTGCGTCTCCGGCCGATGTCAAGCGTAACAGACCTCTGTCCGTAGGTCCTTATGGTCGAACCATTGACCGCGGTGACAGGCAGTGAGGTCTGGCGTCGTCGGCGGTCCTCCAACGTAGGAGGAACAACACACACTTCGGCACCTGTGTCAATAAGGTAGCAAACTTTGGTTACGTTAGGGTGGCTAGAATGGGGAGGTGTGAAAAGCGAACCATGTTTCCCTTGCCGAGCGGCTTCATGGTGCGCGAGATCTCAACTAGGTCGTGATGTAGCATGGCAATCAAAGGCGCTGCTGCTAGCGTGGCTACTAGCGCGGTGGAGACGGCGGCAGGTGCAGTGTATGCCGGGGGAGGCTGCTGGTCATTCACGGGAAGTGCTTCTCAGCATCGTTTGTGTTCCCCGTGGAGCGACGACTTTGTTGTGTTTGCCCTTAAAAGACTAAAGGGCTTCTACAAAGAAGAAAAAAAACGCTGCGGACTTGTTTTTTTTTTTGCCTACGTGCAACGCGGAATACAGATCGTGCGCTGAAAATTTTGCCCTTTTTTGTGCGCTCTGGCATGAAAAGACAGGTTAGCAAAAAGGGCGCAGACCATCGCAAGGGCGCACAAAGTGCTCTAGGAAAATACCGCCGTCAGCGAAAAACATTTCGATGCATGGTAAATGTTTTGAATTTATTTAAGGGCAGAAAAGACTTGTGTGCATGTGTGGAAGGCATCGGCAAGTGAAGATATTGAACAATTTGTGGCGCTCTTAAC